AGGATGTCTCGGGCGAAACGGGCTGAAGCATCTCAAGTCAAGGCATCTCGGAGCCCGGGATTCCGAGGATGTCTGAAGTGACACAGGCCAGAGCCTCTTTGGGCCATGGGGTGCACCGAGCTCTCTTGAAGACAACCCCTTCCCGACACCTCCCCGACACCGCCGTTGGGGTTCCCGGGGTCGCTCGGGGCTGCCTCTCGCGACCCAGGCACCCGGGCCCATGTGCACTGCCCCCTCCCCCGCCAGCCAAGGAAAGCCCTGGAGGGGTCCAGAACAGCATCAAATCAGACAAAAGTGGAGGACCATGAAACTCTGATAACACACGCACACACGCACACCTACATACACACTCGCACACACACAGACGCATACCTCCTAAAACAAACGGGCCGTTCGAGACATCCCCGCAATCTGGGCGCGGACAGGCTCGTGAACCACCCGTGGTTGGCAAGGCATCGGCCCGTACCACAAGGCACGATCGAGCCGCGCCCAGCCCTGGCGACGAGGAGCGCCCCGAAAGCAGCGAAACCACAACTGCTTGTCTGATAAAAATGCGAGCAGTATCCTTCCTTCTCCTGTTCACTCTCCTCCTCCTCCTCATTCTCCTACGCTCCTCCTCCTCCCCCTCATTGCCCTCCTCCATTCCTTTTCCTTAAAAACAAATTCTCCAGGTCGCACCCCGATGCAAATTGTTAGGGCGGGCAGGGCGTTTCGCTTGAAACTTCCTCACCACTTATGACCCTGAAGCTTGAACAATGCCAACAGTTTCACAGATGGTAGGCGGGTCGTTTCAAAATGTGGCTCTCGCCTTAGCTCCGCGCCCAATCGCTTTAAACAGTTGTAAGAATTTCACAGATTTAGCGCGAATCGTTTTCAAAATGTGGCTCTCGCCTGAACGCCGCGCACATTCGTTTTAAACAGTTGCAAGAGTTTTACGGACCAAGAGGTTCAAGGATTCTCAGGATCAACGTGCCAGAAATACAGTTTTGGCAAGATTCTGGATTATGTGGGCGCAACACTTACGTTGATTCGCGGTGTTGAAGTTCCAGGAATGGCGTTCTGGCGCGATTCAGGATCGCCAAGACGCAACAGTCAGGTTGATCCGTGGCGCTGGAATTCCAAGAACAATTATTTGGCATGCTTCAGGGTCTTCAAACGGTTGTCTTCAAACGAGGCAGTTCCTTCAGTGGAAATGATGTGTTGAAGGGGCCTATGAAGAGGGCGCTTGGAGGGAGGGTTTATTCCAACATAGTTGATGACTCTTAGGTTTAAAGTGGTCCTCTTCCTCCTCCTCCTCCTCCTCCTCCTCCTCCTCCTCATCTCCTTTTTTTCTTCGCACTCCTCCTCAGCAATTGAGCAGAATAGCGAGGACATCTCATGCGAAACTGGCCAGACCGCCTCGAACGTGGGATCTTTTTACCCAGAGTTGCGCGGATATCTCAGGCGAGTCTGGCTGGATCACCACGCGGACGGCATCTGCAAGTACAGAGTTGCAGTAATGTCTCAAGCAAAACGGGCGGGGCCACCTCAGGTCATGGCATCTCCGAACCCAGAATTTCCAGGATGTTTCAAGCGAAATGGGCCAGGCCACCTCTCGCACGACATCTGGGCGCCCAGAGCCGCGAGGCTGTCTCAAGCGAAACGGGCCAGACCATCTCAGATCTGCTCATATCGAAATACGGGCTTGGAAGGATGTCGCAAGCGAAACGGGCCAGCTCAGCTTAAGGCTTTGAGATTGTCTCGACGCGCTGGACCTTCGGACAACACTCGAATGCCCCCCGGCACCGGCCTGGCAACCCGGAAACACTCCACAACAAAACCTGTATAACGACAGCAAACGAGCACATCCCATGTGTACATAGCTAACTTGATATATGTGAGCCATCATGGACCAAAGCAAGTGAGCCTGTGCAGTGTGGATGTGAAAGCTATGAGCTGCAAGCAGTGCGATGTGAGCTATGTGACGTAAGCTATACTGTGGGAACTATGCGGTGTGACCTGCGCAGAGATGCTATGTGGTGTGAGCTAACGAAGTGGTGTGAGCTGTGCGGCGCAAGCTGTGTGGTGTAAGCTGTGAGCTATCTTGTGTCAACTATGCGGTGAAAACTATGCAGTGTGAGCGCACCGGGCGCCCACGAGCGGGCACGGACGTCTATGAGGCGCCCACGGCCAGCCGAAACCCCGACATACCCCACAAGCAGGGGGCGCCCACGAGCGCCCACGGGCAAGCACCAGCCGAACCCGCCACACACACACACACACACACACACACACACACACACACACACACGCTTCCCAAGCGCGGGGCGCCCACGAGGCGCCCACGAGCGGGCACCAAGCGAAACCTCGGCATACACCCCCCAGCCCGGGGCGCCCACGAGGCGCCCACGGGCGCCCACCAGCTGGGCACCAGCCGAAACCCCGACACACCCTTACAGTTCCGCAGCGATGTGCGCCCACGAGGCGCCAACAGGCGGGCACCAGGCGAAACCTCGCCGAGCCCCCCCCCCCCCCCAGCGCGTGGCGCCCACGAGCGCCGACGAGGCGCCCACGTGCGGGCACCAGCCCCCCTCTTCAGATCGGGTCGCCTACGAGGCGCCCATGGGCGCCCATCAACCGAACATCGAAAACCCCTTGTGCCCCATGCAGTTCTGGAAGTGAGCTAAGTCACATCCACTACGTGCAAACAATGTTTTGGGAATGTGTGTACACATTGCTAGATACACAAATGTATGCGGGACTTCGCCCGAACAGAAATGTACATAGCTTGTTGAACGACTCACGCTCGCAAACCTCATTCCAAAAATGTTCACTACACTGTGCACGGTGGCGAACATGCTTCCATGGTCATGCTCCTGTTTACGACAGAGGTGCCCTTGCCTGCAGCCCTCGATCGCCCCCATCCGTTCGCGCCCCCGTCACGAAACGCCTGACTGCAAGGGCCCTCTCCACTCCAGCATCTCATGCCTGTCGGGCTCCTCTCGGCCGTGGAATAACGCGGCTCAGTCAACTTAGAAGAAAAAACTGCGCAACATTTGGGGGGGGCTTTTCAACCCAACCCCAGCTCAGCCAAGGCGCACGGGCCACCTCTGGGGCCGTGAGCAGATCCCCCAACCCTGGCTCAGCCCAAACCCGAACTGCCTTGTCCTGCAGGCTCAGGCGCTTTGGCTGAGCCCCGTTTGGGCTGAACCCCGTTACCTGGTTCGGCGACTCCGAAGGGTGTGTGGCTTGCAAAGGATGCGGCTTGCAACCCGCACCCTGGGGGCGGGCGAGGACCTTGACAGAGTTCTCCGCAGCGCCCGTAGGATGCCCGACGAAGGCAACGTGGTGTCCACCAAGTCCCAACGACGCAAATCGTAAACCACAGCCTGGCGTGACCACACCCGTTGTGCACGACGATTGCTGGTTGATCCTCGGGAATCTACAATCTACAGTCCCGGCTCCGTGCTGACGAAACTACCAGCCCAACCAATGCACGCGCGCGGAGGATGTCGCCTGGGCATGGTCCCCGCTCTAGGGCTTGAAGAGACGCGCGGCCGTGACGAGAGCACGCCTCCCCCTCCAGACCCTTCCAGACGTGAGGCGGAAATCGTGAGGAAAAAAAACAAGAAACATCTCAAGCCCCAAACAATTATGTTGCCTGTAGCGATGTCCACCCGAGAACGCGAGGCGGGATCCGCAGGGAACACTGGGCACCCTTGGAACCTGGAGGCCTCGGCATGCAGTCGTCATTAGTCAAGACGCGGGGCGGGATCCCAGGGGAGCACTGGCACACTCGGAGCCTGGCGGCCGCGGTATGCAGGGTGGGTGAGGCGGGTCGGGAGCTCTCCTCTCTGAAGCCAACGTCCCCAACCTGTCAGGTTGGCGAGCTCCGGAGCGAAAAGCGGCGGACACTGATCGGGCGTGGCCCTGCGGAGACTGCCAGGGGTGTGTGCCAACCTCTTGGCGAGTCATACCTTGCGCGAGCCGTGGCGTTCGCCAGATGTAGCGGCCTGCACATGTTACGCCATGGGTCGCGCCACCCATGGGTTGCGCCATAGGTTATGCGGTCAATGGGTTGCGCTATCCATGGGTTCCGCCAAGCTCCATTCATGGGTTGTGCCATAGGTTACACACCAGACTGCTGAGAATATCACGGCCTGCAAATTTCGAACTCAATGGCCAATTGGCCAGGAATGAAACGGCCTGCGATGGGTTGCGAACTCGGCGGCCGAGAATAAACACGGCCTGCTATGGATTATGCCATAGATTGTGCACTCGGCGGCGGAGAACGAAACGGCCTGTTATTGGCTGCGTCCTATTTTGCGCACTCGGCGAGCAAGAATTGAACGGCCTGCTGTCGATTGCGCCATACGGCCTGCTGTTGGTTGCGCCATCGGTTTCGCACTCGGAGGCCAATGATCAAACCACTTGTTATGGGTTGCGCCACGCGTTGCGCACTCGTAGGCAGAGAATTTAACTGCGTACTCTTGGTTGCGTCATAGGTTGCGGACTCAATGGCCAAAAAATATACCGCCTTACAAGTGCGACCAGTCACTCAGTCAGTCAATCAGCCCATTTCGCCTAAAAAGACTGCTACAACTCGAGAAAATCTCAAGAAGCCTCCCATGTGGCTTTGTTTTGCTTTTTGAATAAGCTGCGTGCCACTCACCCTCTCTCCAGTGGCTGCTCTGGCTGCTGATGCTGATCCTGCTCCTCCTCCTCTTCTCTCCCGGGTTCTCCTCGACCTCACTCCCTTCCCTTCCACTCCCTTTCCACCCCGTTTCTCATTCTTGCTTCCTCATCCCTCCTCGACGCCTGGTGGCTTTCTGGTCGTAACTGAGGCCTCCAGAGGCCGTTCGGGACGATCTGGACACCCCTGGGCAGCCCTCGACGAGGCGCAGCTGTTGGCAAGCACCCTTAGGCGAGAAAATACACCAGTGCTAACGAGAAACTCCTCCTCCTCCTCGGCCTCCTCCTCGGCCTCCTCCTCCTCCCAAATGGGGCGGCGGGGGGGGGACCTTCTGACATCTGCGACACATGCGGCGGGAAGGCCTTCGCCACAGCTTGCCCGGGCTGCGGCTGCTGGCGTCGCGGCGCGCGCGAGGGGGGGGGGGACCAGGAGGCTCCGAGACCATCGTCCTGTCCTCGCGCATACGTCCAGAAGGGAGCGGACGACAAAAGAGCAGGAGGAAGAGGACGACGACGACGACGACGAAGGAGGAGCGGAGAGCGGAGGGAGGAGGAGGCGGAGGGCGGAGGAGGAGGAATGGGGAGAAAGAGAAGGACAAGGGAGGGGGAATATGAGGGGGGATCAAAGGGAGAATGAGAGGGACGATTGAGAAGGGAGAATGGACTGGGGAGGAGCAGGGAGGGAGGGAGGACAGAAGAGGAGCGAGGTGGGAGGTGGGAGGAGGAAGAAGAGGAAAGAAGCAGGAGGAGGTCAAGTATGAGGAAGGAACGAGCGCGAACTTGAGCAATCCACGGGGTGTCAGAAACCATCCATCAAACCGGCACCACGCGAACCTGTCATAGTCCTCTTCCGCCAATCGCGCAGGAACATTCGATATCAGCAGATTTCGGGCCACTGGCGGCGTTCAACCGGCGCTGGGGTAATCGACGCGTCGTCACTACACGAACCTATAGTACATACAGTCAAGCTGCTGCCAGAAGGGACGCTAAACAAGGAACAAAGCCCCCTGTTTCGGCCCAAAAGCGACTGCGAGCACGAGGAGCCCTTGAGGAACAACCTTGGAAAGAACGAATGAACAGAAAACACTTTCCGAGCCAGTGTTCCTTGTCTCAGCATCTTGACAATATCTAAAACATCAAGAGAGGATCCAGCTCAAAGAAGTGGTGGCAAGAAGTGGTGGCACTGAAATACTTGACGGGCCCGCGCAAAAGTGACTGCGCCTGTCACCCGTTCGTTACATCACGTGCTTGCAAACTGCCTCGAGACATGCAAACAGATCCCGCAGACAGCGGGAGTGTTTAAGAATACCTCGGCGGCCCACATTCGTTACTAGTCGCAGCAAGGGATGCCGCCCTTGATGTGGAGTGGTTTGCACGGCACTGCACGCGCGTGCCAGCTGCAATGCGCGCGGGCGACGCATTGCGCGTGCTCCCATTGCAGATGGATTGCGCCAAGGGGATGTCTTGCTTTGTACTGAAACAGTCGTGTTGTATGCCAGAGTCGAGCCATTCACTTGCGCCCCGTGACATGTTGTTGCACGCTCCAAGTATGTTGCAGAAAAACGGTGTTGTTATCGAACCGTACGCTAAGAGCTATTGTACTGCAATGTGTTGCAACTGACGGGCCCTGGATTGCATTTGCAGTGTTGGGCTGGGCGGTTGCGGCGCGACCGACCGCATCCGACCAGATCGCATAGTCGCATAGAAGACCCACGAGCAGGGGGCGTGAGGTGCCCAGGTGAGCCTGCCGATCTTGATGACGGAATTAGCACCTAGGGATCAATCGAAGCCCGGGGTGCAACCTGCCCTTGGAAACCACATCATGCGAACGCGTCACTGCAGCGACTCAGACCCAACATCCCAAACCACCACCAGCGTGTCGCGGCGGCGGCCCCCGCGACATGCTATGTCTTGCGAGCTGATGGCGCGTCGCTCCGCTGAGCCAGGCATGAGGCTGGGGAAGCTCGGGAAGCTGACGCCCCGAGGACTGGGGCGTGATTAGCGTGTCGCGCCGAAGCGTGGTGGGCAAGAACTGGCGGTGCGACACGCTAAGCAAGCGCTCCTGACCGCAGATAACTCATCGGTGACCAAAGCTTGTCCATTACGCAGTCGTTTTCGGCTGAAAGCTCGGCTTCCTGGCGGCCGTTCGGGACCATCCTGGCACCCATGGAACGCCCTCGACGAAGCGCAGCTGCTGAAGGCACACCTCGAAACTCTGGGCCCCCTCTTGGGCTGCCTGGAAAATAAGACGAGGACGACGAGGGACGCCCCAAGCCCACGAGAAAACCCGCTGCCACGCGCGCTGGGCCCGCCTGGCCTGCACGTTGCACCCTGGGTGCACCGGCATCCAAGGCATCCCGCACCCTGACACGTTGAAGGAGCCGTCCTCACGCCGAGGGCGAGGCAGGGAGCATGGGTCATGAGCGCAGAGAGGAGAGGGAGGGGGTGAGGGAGGGCACCAATCATTCTCGGCCAAGACAAGCTCGACCAGGCTGAACTCGGCTGGCTGATCTCGATCAGGCTGAAATTGGCAAAGCTGAATTCGGCCCTGGCCGACAGTCTGGCCGAGTTCAGCTGGCCGAGTTCAGCCTGTCTGAATTTCGCCTGGCCGAGTCCTCCCCTTGTCGGAGGGGGTGACATGAGCGCACCCTGAGATCTGGGCTTTGCATTTTTGTCAGAACGCCCCTCGGGCCCCAAGGCCCTCGGAGATCGATCCGTCTCGAAAAACTACAGCAGAAAGATGGGGTCTGGGGCTCTGGTTGAAAGTATTCGCGATGCTGCAATGTTTTTCGAGACGTCGGATCTCAGGGCAGGGAGGGACAGAGGGAGAGGGGGTACTTCGGGGTCCGCCAAAGGGGGGGACCCTGAGGGGGGGGATGAGTTCGATCCGCTGGTGCATCGAATTTCCGAAAAACGATGTCCCCCGCGCGCCCCGAATGTCGACGCCTCTCGGGTTCCGGCGGCGGCCAGAGACCTCGCTTTGCATTGTTTTCTACGGTTCGATGCGCCAACGGACCGAACTCACCCCCCCCTGTGGCACCCCCCCCTTGGAGAGGTCCTGAGCAATTACGGAGGGAGGGGGGGACAAGGGGGGGAGGGACAAGGGATGAAGGAGGACCGGAGGAGGGGGAGGGAGGAAGAACGGAGGCTGGATGCAAGGAAGGGAGGAATGTGGGGCCGCAGAAATCATCCTGCACCAAGAGGAGACGGTCCAGGAGCCGTCATCGCGAGCTGGGAGCTCACTCCTCATTTGCCGCCGTCAAACGACATGCACATGAAACTGTCGGTGGTCTGTGCGGGTTTCCTGGGTCGGCGCTTACAACTCCCCGCGGCGCCGTTGGCACTGCCCCCTGGCACTGCCCCTGGCACGCGTCGCGCGCCAGGGGGTCCAGCACATACCCTGGAAGTCCGCGTTGACCGCCAGAACTGTATACTCACGCAGGTTGGCTTCTTCCTCCGACTACCTTGAGCCAAGCGTGGGGGTTACCACCCGACACCGCGGATCAGCCCAGCCACGTCGGCGCACCGCGCCGGATGGTCGAGCGCCTTCGGCGCATGGTGGCACTCCGCGGCGCCCCAGCGCTTACTCAACAGTTCTGGGCCCCCAGACTACAAGGGCGCCCCCTCTGGACTGCAAGGGCCCCCCCCCACGGACTATGGGGCCCCGACGGACTACCAGGCCACCCTCCTGGAATACATAGACCCCACCCCGGACTACAGGGCCCCTCCTGGATTACAAGCACCCAGTCAAAGCAGACGGAAGGCTGGAGAAAATCAAGGTCAATTTACCGTCGTCCGCAACCGAAGACATAGTTGTGCCGTCCTTCTGTCTGTCCGCATCCCATTCGCTTTTCCGTCGCTTATCTCTCCCCGGCCCTCCCTGGCTCCTCGCTACCCACTCTCCCTCGCCCTTCCTGGGCGCTGCCAACCGTGGACTGTCGCCTCATTGCCGCGCCCCCGGGTGACCAGCAGAGCGGCGCCCCAGGCGCGCCGATGCGATTCCTTCCCCCCCCCTGGGCCAGCGATGCCGGGCGCGCGAGTGCTGCAAATCAGCCGCACGCCCGCGGGGTTCAGCAAAATTGCGTTTATCTCTCGCAAATCAAAATTCTGCCACGCGGGCGCCAGTCGCCACTCTGCGCCCCGCGGGCGCTTCCGGGCGCGCCCAGCCCTACCCCAGACGTCGCGACACGCGCCCCGCACTACAAGACCACCACCCAGGAATACTGGGGCCCACCCGCAGACTACAAAGGCCGCCCCCGGGACTACAGGCCCCCCCCACGGAATAACTACAAGGGCCAACTCCCAGTCTGCAGGGCCCCCCCACCCCCGGACTACAGGGACCCCCCGGACTACTAGGGCCCCCCCCGGACTACGCGGGCCCCCAAAACTATTCAGGTACTCACAATATCAAGGGGCGCAGCACAGAGCATCCTGCCGCCCTGCGCCCCCGCCCCCGCGCTTCCCGCGAGCGCGCCGCCCGGGGACCAGGGCCGCCCATGGCGGCAACACAGCCGAGAGCGCCCGAGCTGGCAGCGATGCCGAAGGCGACCGAGGCCTAATCTGCTGGAGGCAGTCGTGTAGCAACAGCCGACGCATCGGCGCAGCAACGACGAGCCGCAGCAACGGACAAGAGCCGAACCGACCGAACGCAGCCGACTGGGACATTGACATCCACCGATGTGATTGTCTCGACCCGCGGCCCCAAAAACCTCTCTTCCCCAGGATAGTTCCTCGCTCCGGAGAACTATCTAAATGATCCCCAGACCCGAAAACGGACCCCAGAGGCCGACATCAAACAAAAACGCCCGGATTGAAAGCATAATATCGGCGGAGATCCAGGTCCCCAATAGCTGTCGGGCCATACCTCTGCTCTCCAGCGGCCGTTCGGGGCAATCTGGGCATCCCTGGAATGCCCACGGCGAGGCGCAGCTGCTGGAGAGCACCCCGAGGCTGGAAAACCGCCGAATTCGAAACTGACTGGCGGAACTCAAACCCGGAGCTGACCTGAAAAAATCAGATCGTCGGAAACCTGGGGCCGCAGCCCCAACGTCCGAACCGCGGACACCCTCGGGATTTATCCCCCCCACCCGCGGACGCCAAGAGCGGCGCGGCTCCGCGATCATGCCGCACTCCGGCGACATCGGCTCCTGGGCAAAGAGCACGACGACGGTCGACAATGACGAAGCGCCCGGGCCAGACGACGCCGATGGCAACCACGCCGAGAAAGCAGACGCCGCCGCTGGCGACGACCTGGTGCAGTGTGAACCAGCCTGCCAGAAGGTGCCCCACAGGTATGTTTTGCCACCCGACGGCCCCATGGACCATGCGCCAAAATCTTGTTTCTAGCATGGTTTCTCAGGCTAAGATGCGCTGGCGACGACGGCGACGAGACGACTACGTCCACCCACGCCGACGCCGACGACGGCGGCGGCGGCGACGGCGGCGGCGGGTGCAGGCCGCGAGGGTGGGAGGGGAAAGTTGCAGCCGTCGGGGCCGCGCGGGCCCCTGCAGCTGGAGGGACCCCTAGGGCCACACAACGCCACCTCTGGCCGGAAAGTGAGGGCGAAAAGGGATTTACGCAGGGGGGTAAGCATTACCTGGGGGACCGATGTCTTTGGACACCAGAGGGGGCATGGGGCGGCGAATCTGGTTATATTTGGGCCCCGCGGGCCCACATATATGATCCGAGGCCGAGGGTTTTCAACGCCCCCCTCCAGTTACAGACGCGATGGATCCCAGATTATCCCGGCAAAGCAACCTAACAGCCATGTGTAGGAGCCGGCCGGGGCAGCCGGCCGCCCTCCCCTCCTGCTCGTCCTCCTCCTCCTCCTCCTGCTCGTCCTCGTGCTCCTCCTGCTCGTCCTCTTTCTCCTGCTCCTCCTCCTCCTCCTCCTCCTCCTCCTCCTCCTCCTCCTCCTCCTCCTCATTTTTCTCCTGCTCCTCCTCCTCCTCCTCCTCCTCCTCCTCCCTCCTGCTCGTCCTCGTTCTCGTCCTCCTCGTCTTGCTCGTCCTCCTCCTCCTGGTGCTCTCTCCTCCTCCTCCTCCTCCTCCTCCTCCTCCTCCTCCTCCTGGTGGTCCTCGTTCTCCTTCTCCTGGTGCTCTCCCCCCCCCTCCTCCTCCTCGTCCTCCCTCCTCCTCCTCCTCCTCCTCCTCCTCCTCCTCCTCCTCCTCCTCCTCCTCCTCCTCCTCCTCCTCCTCCTCCTCCTCCTCCTCCTCCTCCTCCTGGTAGTCCTCCCCCTCCCCTCCTCCTCCTCCTCCTCCTCCTCTTCCTGGTCGCCCTCGTTCTCGTCCTCCTCGTCTTGCTCGTCCTCCTCCTCCTGGTGTTCTCTCCTCCTCCTCCTCCTCCTCCTCCTCCTCCTCCTCCTCCTGGTGGTCCTCGTTCTCCTCCTCCTGGTGCTCTCCCCCCCCCTCCTCCTCCTCGTCCTCCTCCTCCTCCTCCTCCTCCTCGTCCTCCTCCTCCTCTTCCTCCTCCTCCTCCTCCTCCTCCTCCTCCTCCTCCTCCTCCTCCTCCTCCTGGTAGTCCTCCCCCTCCCCTCCTCCTCCTCCTCCTCCTCTTCCTGGTCGTCCTCCTCCTCCTGGTCGTCCTCCTCCTCCTGCTCGTCCTCCTCCTCCTCCTGCTCGTCCTTCTTCTCCTGCTCCTCCTGCTCCTCGTCCTGCTCCTGCTCGTCCTCGTCCTCCTGGTCTTGCTCGTCCTCCTCCTCGTCGTGCTCTTGCCCCTGCTGAAAGTGTGGTCCAGGAATGGGAGTTCTGGGAAGTCGAAGAGCACGAAGTTGCCTACAGTTGGCTACGGGCATCCAAAATCTGGCCCGGGAATGGAGTTCTGGGAACTCGAAGACCACGAAGTGGCCTACAGTTGGCTCCGGGCATCCAAAATGTGGCCCGGGAATGGAGTTCTGGGAACTCGAAGAGCACGAAGTGGCCTACAGTTGGCTCCGGGCATTCAAAATGTGGCCCGGGAATGGAGTTCTGGGGACTCGAAGAGCACGAAGTGGCCTACAGTTGGCTCCGGGCATTCAAAATGTGGCCCGGGAATGGAGTTCTGGGAAATCGAAGAGCACGAAGTGGCCTACAGTTGGCTCCGGGCATTCAGAATGTGGCCCGGGAATGGAGTTTTGGGAAGTCGAAGAGCACGAAGTGTGTGACTGTTGGCTTAAAACGACTTCTGCGGCACCCTGTCCGGCACCCGCCCAGACCCTTCTGTGGAGTGATCTGTGAGCTCTTTTGAGACCACTAGAAACCTATCAGTCTTCGCAGTTAGGTAATAAATCTTTCTTCAAAAAAGAATGGGCTCGACCCACCCCAGGATTATCACTTCCCCTTTTCGCATTCCAATTTACATGCGAGTTTGCCCCATCGCCCATCCTAAACACTAGCTTATACCATTCCAGCCAATCCGGTATCCGTCACCCACGCCATCCCCAACGAAAATTTACTATGCGCGCGCACTCGTTCATAACAGAACATACATTGTCTACAAGCCTTGCAAACAAAAGGGCGACATACACACGCGCGCGTCGCCCCGCGCGCAAGCCGAAAACTGCGAAAACCGTTGGTGTCGTAACCGATTCAAGACCGAATGGCGGAGAGACATACGAAAACACATGGTTCCGCAACGTCAAATTTCAAACCAACGTGCGCTCGCGCTCTTGTGACTTCGTGAAAAGATTTTAAATATTTCGACGTGTTCCCGGAATTCTGCCCCGCGGGCCTCTCGCGCCGCATGCCGACACCACCCGCGCGCCCTTCCGCGCGTGCGGCGGAGGGGGGGGGGGGGGGGGGGGGCGATCCGATCCGTGTCAAACATTGCCATGCGGGCCACTTTCGCGCGTCGGCCGCGCGCGCATGTCGAACTCTTTCCAAAACCTTCATCGCCGACGCGACGACGTTGTCATCGTCGCCGCCGTGATCAGCATCGCACTGGTCGCGCCTTCGTCGTTGTCAACATCGCCACCAACATCGCCACGAGGGTCATCGTGTCTACCGTCGTCGACATTGCCATGATACCGCGCCCGCCAAAATCGCCGACTGGTTGTGAAGTGCCCACTGGGATGCGCCCAGCGGTCAGCGCCACCGCGGCCGCACCATCGCGCCATATTAGTTGGCCGCTGCGTGCGCGTGCTTGGGATGGCGCGGCCGCAGAGGTACGCCAGCCAACGCCAAGCATGCATCGCAATCGCCACCGCATGGGTTCTGCAAACCAAGTTGCGGGTGGGTGGGTGGGAGGTTTGCAAAAGCATGGGATGTGCCAACTCGTTTGTTAACACAATTTATCATGAAACAATAGACTCTCCTTGTCGTATCGCAATTGACATGCGATTCTGCCCCATCGCCCATCCTAAATCCGCCGATCCGGCGTGTGAGTTTCAAGGAGTCTCAGCTACAGCCTCGAGGCTGAGCCTCAGCCTCTGGGGGGGTTGCCGGGGTGGCTCTGCCGGGGAAGGGGGAGCGGGGGGGGGGGGGGGGGCGAGTTTCCGGCGGATGCGGGGCGCTGCTTTTGCAAAAGGCTAATCTCGAGGATGCGCTGGAAGGGTGGCCGCGGCCGCAAAAGTCTCTGAAGACGGTCTACGAAAGTCCCGAGACCTCAAAGGATCGCCGGAACGCGCCCAAGATGGCCCCAAGACGGCCCAAGAGCCTTCCACGACGTCTGAAGAGGCCTCCAAGAGGCCTCCCACGATGGCCCCCAGAGGCAAAAATCGTTGATTCCCATTGGTTTTTCCCTACCTAGGCTCTGCCTAGAAGGGTTCTTACTCTCTCGCTTAAAGGGGCCGGGCAGTGCTACGCGCCCCGGGCGGTTCCCCCAGCCCCCGCCCTGCAATTCCCCCAGTCGCGCCCCCTGGGTTCACCCAGCTTAGTTTAGCTTCAGCTTAGCTTTAGCTTCGCTTTAGCTTAGCTTCAGCTCAGTTTTAGCTTAGCTCTAGCTTAGCGTAAGCTTAGCTGCAGCTTAGCTTTAACTCAGCTTTAGCTTAGCTTCAGCTTAGCTTCAGCTTAGCTCTAGCTTAGCTCTAGCTTAGCTCCAGCTTAGCTTCAGCTTAGCTCTAGCTATAGCTTAGCTCTAGCTTAGCTTCAGCTTAGCCTTAGCTTACCTTTAGCTTAGCTCTAGCCTAGCGTAAGCTTAGCTTCAGCTTAGCTCTAGCTTAGCCTTAGCTTAGCTCTAGCTTAGCTTAAGCTTAGCTTTAGCTTAGCTTTAGCTTTAGCTTAGCTTTAGCTTACCTTTAGCTTTCGCTTAGCTTCAGCTTAGCTCTAGCTTAGCGTCAGCTTAGCTTAAGCTTAGCTTTAGCTTAGCTTTAGCTTAGCTTTAGCTTAGCTTCAGCTTAGCTTTAGCTTAGCTTCAGCTTAGCTTCAGCTTAGCTTTAGCTTAGCTTCAGCTTAGCTCTAGCTTAGCTTTAGCTTAGCTCTAGCTTAGTTTTAGCTTAGCTTTAGCTTAGCTTCAGCTTAGCTTTAGCTTAGCTTTAGCTTAGCTTTAGCTTTAGCTTAGCTTCAGCTTAGCTTTAGCTTAGCTTTATCTTAGCTTGTCTGTTACTACTAATGCTGCTTTCCTAGGGGCTCCAACTCCTAGGTAGGGTCGCACTGGGATAATTTCAATGTTTTTGGGGTTGTCGTTTTTTTTTCGGCTTTCCGACGCTCCAAGACGGCCCAAGAGGCCTCCAAGACCGCTCGAAGACGGCCCAGGAGGCCCCCATACAGTCCCAAGACGGCCCAAGAGGGCCCCAAGGCGGCCCAAGAGCCGCCCAAGACGGCCCAACAGGCCCCCAAGACGGCCCCGAGAGGGCCCAAAAGAGGGACGAAAAGCGGAACAAAAATTTAGCCTTCCAGCCCACGAGGCCCCCAGGAGGCCCCAAGAGCCTCCAAGAGGGCCTCCGAAAGCCCCCAAGAAGCCCCCACGACGCCCTGACAGGCTCCTAAGATGGCTCAAAAAACGCCCCAAGAGGGCGCCCTTGCGCCGATAGGCTCGCCTCCACCGCTCGCGCCGCATCGTCCAGGCCACATGTTTCGTAACACGACTCCGTGCACGACGTATCGTGAGTTTCCGAAGTGATCGGCGTCCTGTATGGAATTTTCATGTCATTATTATTTCCCGTCCCCACGGTCACTGCAAGCACCTCGCCGTTGATAGAACCACTGTTGCGAGATGGCTCTATTGACCCAA